GTTTGGTGGCTTTGGCATTGTGGAGCATTCAGATCAGGAATCCTCCATCTGAAGTTTGAAGCAGTACCAGCCATTTTATTACCTCTGAAAATCCAAAGCAGAAAGGGTACTACTGCTTAAACTCATTAATAACCATCACTGGAACATATTGAGCAAGAGCCTATGTTAATAGAATTTTTTTAAAAATTCCAAGGATAACTTTTGTACTGGAAAAATGAAAACAAAATTAGGAATGATTCCACCACTTCATTCTGCTGCATAGTTAAACCATTGCTTTAGTCCCATTGCTCATTTTCTGTCCCTCGAGAACAATGCTTCCCATTTCGGCAGATGAAATTGGGAAGGCAATGGCCAACCTCTCTGAACAACTCTTGCCAAAAAAAAAACATAAATTTGTCTTGGGATTGCCATAAGGCAGAAACAGCTTGAAGGTACACAACAACCAAGCAAAGGAAAGCTATGAGAATTTTTAATGGTGGCTTCATAAGGACAACCAGGTCATTCAGAGATGTCATCCAGGAATCCAGTTGTTCTCCGCCACACTTTATACATCTTTATACAACACTTTGTATCAAATGTTGTGTAGGAAAGCATCACTGCCTTGCAATAACACAATTAACATTTTGTTTATCAGTTTTGAAAGGAACCTGAGATCCTAATAGCATCTTTGCTTGAGACTTCCAGGAGAGTCAAAGGACTTTAGGGTTTTCATAGATATACTGGTACCGAACGTGCCTTAGGGCTTTAAGTCTCAGACACATAATTACTGAAAAGCTCTTCATCCAGTTTTCAACTTTCCATTCCTTTGAAGGCAAAAATCTTAGACTGGCACTGATAAAATACATGCCTTTACTTGCTCACTTTCTGTTTTTTGGAGTACTTTTTCCCCCCTAAAAGAACATCATTTTCCTTAAAGCCGCAACCCTATACCTACGTACCTAGATGCAAGTCCAAGTGAATTCACTGGGATTTACTTCTGAATAGAGACAATTATGTTGTTGTTGTGTGCCTTCCAGTCATTTCAGACTTATGGTGACCCTCAGACTATCATGGGGTTTTCTTGGCAAAACTGGTTCAGAGGAGGTTTGTCATTGTCTTCCCCTGAGGCTGAGAGTGTGTGACCTTCCCAAGTTCACCCAGTGGATTTCATGGCCAAGCAAGGAATCGAACCCTGGTCTCCAGAGTCGTAGTCCAACACTCAAACCACTATGTCACACTAGCTTTACACAATTATAGGACCTGCTAACATTCACAGAACCGATGGGCACTTGTTTTGAACATTTCTTCCACGTCTATATTTCATTAAACTCTTTGATTTCTAAGTAACTCTAGTTTCATGTACCAAGTGCACGTTTACAGCAAAATCTCTCCCAAATCCAGATGTATGGGCTTGCCCAGTTAACGCTGGTTTTTCCTTATGACCCATAGTCCTGACAGAAAACAGCAATTTCAGTTCTTACAGATGACTTTCTCTTTGTTTTCTTTGCTGTACTTGAATTTTTTTATAATGCACCAATGCAATATGTTTCCCACTTAAAATTGAGGGCAGTCTTTGAAAAGCTGTGAGCCCACTTTTGTATGACACTGGTATCTTTCCAAACCTTCAGCCTTGATTTTTTTTTCCATCTATATGTTTTTAATCGATATATGAAATCTATAAGGTTTTTTTCTTTAATAGGGGTGGGGAGGGGAATCAAGATCGAAGCAACATTACTGCTCTCCCACTCAGACATAAATATATAAATTACATTTTATACATTTTTGTTTCCTTTTTCACGTAGACACATACATTCATGTGAATAACATTGCGAGACTGTTACACTTGGTGGAACACAAGCACAGACACTTTTAGTAAAACTTTTTAACCCCCAGTCTAGATATTTTCCAAAAGAAACCCAGAACTGTGACTTTCCAAACCAAGAATGCCTCATTTTCATACAAATTGCTTTCATTAGGCCACGTTTGCACAGGAAGGATGGAGCGGAAGGGTCAAAAAGCAACAAAATATGAATAATCCAATCTAAAGAAATGTTTGGCCCATGTGAAATCAAAAACAGATCATATTAACATTAGTGGGGTAGGGGGAAAATATTTTCCTTAGCTTTCATTGAGGAAGGTTTTACTTTTCAAAATGAGATAGGTCATTCAACATAGAGACATAAAACACATCCGTATACATATTGAAGACAGCAACATTATCTTCAGTACAAACGCCTTGGTCCATACATTTGAGGTGCAGGAAAAAGATTATTTCTTTGGAGACCATTTTGTAAGTTAGCTCAGCAGTTTTATTTTACATAACCAAAATAGAGTCTGGTGGGGGAGATAAAGTCATATGCAAGAGAATGCTATTTATCCCATACTCCTTGTTATCCGAATTCACTTAGAGCTGCTCAGCACATTATGAATTTATGAGGTTCGAGTGCTCCTACAGAGATTCTGCAAGTCTGAAATTAGAGAATTTGGGATCTGACACATATTGCTGCTTCAAAAACCTCAACTCTCATTTTGTTTTAAAGCAAATTTCCCGTTCTTACGAATCAGAAAATGAAAACAACCTGGACAAGTATGGGTTCAAGCCAGAACCTCTAAAGTTCACAGGACAGAACATAAAGTCAAAAGTCCCATTTCCCTATCAGGAGGGGAATGAGCTAAATTATGTCAAGAGCACAATTATTTTAGTTTTTTTTTCTGATTTTTAGAATGATCATCAGTCCTGATGTTAAATTTAAATTACTGTGAATTTAAAACCTGTGCTAAATCAGACCACAGGCCTATGTAATTCAGCATTCTGCTCCCATCATAAGCAACCGATGCCTCTGGTAAGTTCAGAATCAAAATGTAAGTGCCATAACACTCTCCCACTCATGTTCTCCTGCAACTGACACTCAGTAGGATAGTGCCTCTTTGATATAATAGAGGTAATATAGAGACATCACATTTCATAGGCATTGATGAGCTTATCCTCCAAGAATTTGGCTAGTCCAGCTTTTTAAAGCTATTCAAGTTGGTGGGATCATTACTATAGCCCCTTCCCCTTCAGTTTCTGGAATGTTAATTGGGAGATAAAGCACAAGATTTAATTAAGAAAAGAAGTAAATTTTGGCATTCCTATCTATAAGTGCCTGTCGTTCAATGGCTTCCTTATTCCTGCATTACAGCCAATACATATTTTACACCGACTTGAAAGGTAAGGGAGTTGTTTTCTTGTTTATCTTTGGAAAACATTAGTACAGCCATGATCCAGGGGCCCAAAGGGATCTTGGAAGGAGCAGGGGTTGGAAGGAACAACTCACATGGACACAGAGTTCTTTGCCATCCCATAACCAACACAGCATAGCCTCCAACATTTCACGGATGAAATCCGGAGGCACACGTGTCCAAGCAATGACAGAGTGTGGTCAAGATGGCAAAAAGTTATTAACAAAGAAAAACAGACAAACCTAGAGAGGCTACAGAGGAGAATTTGCTTTTTCCTGAGCTTACATGGAAGGGTGGGTTTCTGCCTCCTCCTCTCCTCTCCTCTCCTTCTCCTGAGTTAATTGAGAGCAGATTACTTTTGCACTTTTAACTCAGTTAGTAAGCTGAGGACAAAGGTGGGAGAGAGAAAATGGGAAGTTCTGAAAGCAGCTAAGTAGGATGACAGAGTATTAATCCAAACTCTCTCTGTCAGATTGGGACAACTGGAAGGTAAGACATAGCCCAAGCACATTAAAAGTCCTGTGGCCTATGCTGACAGGCAGAAGATCAGTGTGTAGGAGCACTCCTTTGTTATGAATTCATAATATGGGAAGCAGACCTCTGTGTCCCCATCATTTCAATGTAAACCCACCATTAGCAGCACTTCTGTTTCATCTGACCTGACTAAACAGATAAAATATCTTGAACGGTCTGAGTTGTAACCAAAAGGTGCAGGAGAAAGAACCATACTGTAGGCTAAGCATGAAAGAAACATCAATGAGCCATATATGCTGGGCTACCACAAAGTATCTTGCATAGTCCTATATTTTCAAAGAGGGTGACAAGTGTTACTGCAGATGATCTAAGCCAAAGACAAAAGGAAAGCAGCTCAAAGGCAGCTTGGGATAATTAGTTTGGACACATACATCTCCATTTGTACAAGAGTATTAGTCCCCTTCCCATCAGTGATGGAAATAACTTGATGCATGACAGACAAACATGGAGATGCCTTTTCAAACACCCAGCTCCTTGTGCCTTAAGCAACAGTGGCTAGAATATTGAATTGTGCATTTTGTCCTTTGAAAATATAGGAGATGAGGTTTGATTCACTTCATCTGCCCTGCTATAATGAAAATAAATATATTTTAAAGTTATATGGGCTCTTACTGCTAGAAAAATATGTCCATAAAATGCCCGATCCCATCCGCTGCTCCCCCGCCCCCCGCCTTTAATTCTTTTTTTGGTTCAAGAAAACATAGCAGGCTTTCTCGGGTATATAAAACCATTGATTTTTAGATTAAAAAATACAAACTTCACCTTTACAAAAGACACTTATTTTGTTGAATACACATAAAGCATAACTTTGTTTTTAATACCAAAAATAAAGAATTTTAGGCTTTCCGACAGGGTTGTCCCCATGCCGCAGTGACATCATACAATACGGATAACAAGAAGACTTTTTACATCTCACACACTTAAACATGTGAAATAGCAAAAGAGATTTGTTGAGGGAGGAGAACAGCAATTGCTACCACTATAATATCACTTGTGGGCAACTGGTATAAGTCTTCAGGGGAAATGAAAAAAGAAAAATATGTTCTCTGCTTGCATAAAACCTAAGGTCCTCTTACGCTCATCAGTTGTCTTTTGTAATGTTTTTAAAACAGTGACTTTCAAACCTGTCCTCAGAACCCCTTTTCCATGTGGATTTATCTGCTGAGGAATTTTTGTGTTATCAGTCATAGAACTGTCCCATGTTGCTGAGGATTTTGGGTACATTTAGGACACACACTTTAGCTGGTTGGTTGGTCGGTTAGTCACAGCTAGAGTAAACCTGTTCAATCAATTGCTGAGTGGTGAATCAATCATAAGTAAATCTCACCGATTCAATGGGTTTACTCTTCTTCTTCTTTTGTGCCTTCAAGTCTATTCTGATTAAGGTGACAATAAAGCGAAACTATCACAGGGTTTTCTTGACAAGATATGTTCAGAGGAGTTTACCATTGCCTTCCTCTGAGGTTATGAGAGTGGGACTTGCCCATGTATACCCAATAATCCAGGTTTCCGTGGCCAAGCATGGATCTGAACCCTGGTCTCCCAGAGTCCTAGTCCAACACTCAAACAACTACCCAACACTCGCTCTTAGGTCTACTCTAGCCATGACTAACAACAGGATTTAGGTCTTCAACTTACACAGGGTGCCAGACAGTATTATCAGGCCTTACTCTTGTCCCATAATATTAAGTAAAATGTGTGTCCCAGAATGTGTCCCATGCCTATCTCTAACTTCTCTCTCCCTCCAGAGTTGCAGACTACAATGGGAGATCAGTAATGACAGGTAGAGTTATCTTGCTTCTCTCCCATTACTGTTCTCCTTTTGAGAATGCCCTGGCAACACTTTGAAAACCACTGTTTTAAATAAATCAGTGAGGCAATGGGGGCAGGGACATAAACCAAGAAACATTTAGAAAAAATTATGCATAGGTATACCATTTTTATTTTAATACATCTCATTCGTTTGCATCCTGCTAGGAGAAATTCCATACTTGTGTGTCCCGTTTCATCATCACTACAGCAGTCTTCTATATGGGTTATTGGTAAATGTAGTCCGAAGAGATAATAAAAAGCTAGGCAAAGAGTAAAAAGAAAGCTTAATAATAACTTTATGGTGTAAAAAAAACAAAAACAAAAAAAACATCCACTTAAGGCGCCCCAGAAGGATTTTTTTTAATAGACTTTTAAAACACCGCCAAGCAAAAATCGCACTGTTTCTATAGTGTCTGCCGTGGTATTTGATACATTCCTGCTCTTTTTTTGTGTGAGTGCCTAAACTCCATCAGTGTCCATCCATCTTCATCAAGAATGCAGGCACATCTCTTGACAAAAACAAACAGAAATAAAGCACCATTGACTGCTCTTTTAAGAGGAAATGTGCACTTAACTTAGTGTTCCTTTTCCCTTTTTTTGTCATGTTGTTATGCTCCATTCGTGTCATCTTCTCTTCTTCTTTTTTTGGACAGGGAAACTTCGTATTGTTTTGTA